AAAGTTGGGGGAAAGGGAGGCACCTTCCCCCCCCCCCCTAGACCCCGCCTCACCTGACGGAGTGCTGCAAATACCCCCCACCTGCCACACTCTAGAGTGGCTCGTAACAGCTGGGGAGGGGCATTTATTTCATTCTTCTTTTCTAAGCACTCAAGGTGGCTTGCAGGGGAGAACCTCCCTAATTTTGTCCCCTCCCTGATGAGCCAGGCTGGGCTGAGAAAGACGGGGCAGGCGCAAAGTTACTGCTCTGAATCTCCTTAATCGCTGTTGTCTTTTCATCAGACGTGCCCCCAGAAGCCCCCCTTCTGATCTGATCCAGCTGCTTCCCTTCTCCCGCCTTACCTGCAGGCCCTCTGCAAGGGCTGCACGAGGCGGTGCCTGCCTGCCTGCCCCACTGATTCATGGGGTTTGGAGCGCAGGGTGAGCTGGGCCTGGGGCTTGGCATGCCACCTGTTTCCCTCCTTTGCTGCCCAGCTCCTCCCTGTTTCATGGCAGGGAAGGAGCCTCTGGTACCAGTGGCTGGATATGGGGTGGCTCAGCAGCGTGTGGTCTGTGGACATGGCGCAGCAGCCCATGGAAACATTGTTTTTGATGGGAGTTTCGCACTAGAGGTCCAAGGTCTCGCGTGGCAAAAATACAAGGGGGGCAAAGCTGGCTTTGTTCGCATGCTGCAAGAGATTTCTGGAATTAAAGGTTGTTTGGGGTTGTTCTTTGTGCCGTGCTAGGAAGGGAGAATCAACCAGTTTAAATTTGGTTCTAAGTCATTGTTACAAAACCCAGAACTTCTCTGTCTTCAGTGCAAATCCTTACAGGCTGCAGGCATACGTTTTGGCACCTGTCTGGCCCCGAGATGAGCTGCAGAGGGGAGGCTCGCAGTTCCGGTGCCTTTGGGTTCCCCCAGTCTCCCCTTTCGCTTGCAGGACGAGGGCGAGATTAACATCCTTCTCACAACTCTTGTGAAAGTGAACCAAACAGATTTGAGGGAAATGCCGTGACCACTTGAAAATGGATGCCGGTGCCCAGGAGATGATCATGAGACTTGCCCCAGAAGAACCTCCCAAATGGCAGACGACATGGTTTCATTGACAAGGAGCGGAGAACGGGCAGAGAAGAGCCTGAGGTGGGGTCTCGGGTCCAAGTGCTGCCATGCCTGGTTTCATAGGAGCAAAGAGTCTGCAGAGCCACCCAAAAAGCACAAGGCCCCTGATGAAGCCAGCCCCTGGCACACTGATGGCCCAGAAGAAGAGAGAGCCTGGAACTGCTGATAGATGGGTTGGAAGGAGGGGATTTTAAGAGGAGGGGCCTTTGTGTGATTGCAGAGGAAAGGACAAGGGACAAGCCCATCATCTGCTTGTGACAAGAGAGGAGAATCAAAAAGAATCACGGCAACCCCGCTGAACTTCCGGAGTCCTCACTTTAAGGCACACCTGTTCCCATAAATCCTGCCGGTGCGGCCATCACATTCCCACCAGGTGGGCGGGGGGATACAGAGGCAAAGCTCTCCTTTTAAAATACTAGCAAAGGGACTTCAGAGAGGCCTGCAAAACGTCTCGGCGCACTGGGAAGCAAGAATCAGTGTGGGTTGAGGAAACCAGCCAAGCTGTCACCCAGGCCTGAAAAGACGACTAGATATTTTGACCCCCAAAAGCCTCCGTATGGAGAAAAGTATTTGCTCAGTCTCAGAAATGAGGTTAGATTCCAAAAAGGTAATCATTTATGGAACACCCAGCAATGGACTTTGTGAAGTGAGGGTTACATCCAGTGTTCACAACATATTTACCAGGCAGGCTAATCTGTTTTACAGGCAAATCTGCTTTTCCCCCACAAATCCTGCTGTAAACGCAACCCTGGCATTAATATCCAGAAGCCAGCGTTGCAGTCAGAAAGGACAACAAATAAATATCTCTGAAGGTATAAAACAGGATGAAAGCAAGAATGGAAAGTAGAATAAATGTGGGGAAACAGACATCTTATAAGAGCCAACACCCCCTAACAGGCAGAATAATTTACCTCTAAAAGGAAATACAGCAACGTGTGTTGCCTGGTTCTGTGTAGATCTGAAATCAGGTCTTTGACGAAATGAAGGAGAGAAAATGGGAGGGCATTTGGACAGTGGCCTGAAACACGACATGGATGGAAATGAAAGTAAATGACAAAAGATGAGATGGAGTCGCAGAGGGATGAAGGACTGGCGAAAAGTGCAGAGTGAAGAAAAAGAACAGGGCGCATTCTGGGTCAGGCTCCTCAGAGGACTGGAAGGAGAAGTGACTGGTTTGCAGCTGCATAAAGCGGGTGACCTGGGCGAGGCAGCCGGGCAGGGCCAGCAGCGAGGGGCCGAGGTGAGATGGGTCTGCTGCAAGAACGTGGTGCGGAGTTGCCAGCCACAGCTGAGAAACTAAGAGTCCCACCGGCAGGAGAAGGAGAGGTAAGACTGGAGCGATGGCCCAAGTCATGGGGTTGGCAGTGTCTGCAGTGAAGGCGTCTTGCCGAGAGCTGCGCCCTTGAATCTGGCTGTGAAGTGGTGGTTGAAGCGAAGCTGGGCATGGGAAGGAAGAGAAGGGTGGAGTCCTGAGGCAGACCTGCCCGAAGGAGAAGCTCAGAAGCCCACCCTCAGGCTTCCGTGGGTTCAGATACACCTTCATCACTGAGCCGTCGCAGTGCAGCTGGATCCAGGGGTGGACCTCAGAACATCACAGAGCCCCCTAAATAACTCCTGGCCGTTCCCTTGCTGGTCCCGAGGAAAGAGACCCTCGTGCGGCGAGTCTCCTCCTCCCACTAGGGAGGCCGGAGGCGGCTGCTGTTCAAAGAGAGTTGCGCGTTTCCAAGTCGAATCGATGCAAACGGCATCATTCCCGGTGGAGTGTTTGAATGCGCAAGCGGGAAGGAGACCCACCCCAGAGTCAGCCCTGCCAGGGGCCTGTCCCGCCGGGAGCGTCAGCGGCTCTTTTTCCCTTCCAGCTTTCACTGCAGCCAAAGAGGGTTTCTTCCACATCGGTCCCAACGCAGCTCTGGTTAATCTGCAGGGGAGCCTTGCCAGGGAGGGGGTGCAGCCCCGAGGGTAGCGAGGATGGGCGGAGCAGGCGCTTCAGCTCACACGCACGGGGTGGGTGTTCGTGCTCAGTTTGGTCCTGGCGGCATTGCTCAATATCTTTCTTCCTCGTGCTCTGAGCAAAAGGGGAGGCACTGGTAGGAAGCCAGTTTCCCAGAGAATGGAATGATAATTAAGGAACGAAGGGCCTTTATAACTCCAGGAGCTGAGCAAGGGCAGCAGGCGGAGAGGAAAAATGGCCCGGAAAAATAAAAGAGTAACTGCCGGGAATAGACTTTGGGGACGGGAGTGATTGCAGAAGCTGTGCCGGCCTTCTCTTCTCTGCCAACAGCTGGGCCTCCAGCCCTGAGTGCGTGAATGGGGGCCGTTGGGGGGAGAGGAGGAGGAGGAGGAGGGGTTTCTACTTTTGTTCAGGGAAGCTGCTTCCCACCTGGATCAGGGCCACATTCGGGGACAGGGCGGCCCAGTGCTTCAGCCCCTCCTGTCCAAATCCCAGCCCTGCACCCCCCCCCCCCCCATGTGGCTGAAGAAGGATGGCTTCACAGCAAGAGACTCATTTCAGGCCCTCTGCAAAACGGTGCTGAGCCTTTCAGAGCTTCAGCTGGGGGAGGAAGGGTTGCCTTTCATCACAAGCTTGGACACGAACCAGCTATTTGTTTGACAGCACACGCTGCATTGAGAGATTTCTGTGAGGCTCCCAATTGTAGCTCAGCCTGATCCTCACCATGGCTCCCCTCAAAGGCGCTTGCTTTCTTTTCTTTATTTTGGGAGGGAGAACCCAAAAGTCCCTCCGCTCAGATTGCGAGCCGTTTTGAAGAACGGAGGTTCTTCAGCAGAAACGCAGCAGACCGAAAGGGGAGACAGGGAAAAGGAAGTTGCAGGGAGCTGTGGGTGGAACGGTTTTCCAGACAGACCGATCGCCCAGCCTTCGCTTAAGAGCCAGGACGGACAGGCCTGGGCAGAAGAGGGAGCGCCAGCCAAGGGCCCCGAACTAGGCAGCGAAGGTGCCGGGGGGCTCTCCTCCAGCAGGCCCGCTGCCAAAGGAATGTTGTGTTGATGTTGCTCAACATGCGCTAACAGCTGCCTGTCTGCTGCGCTGGTCTTGTGTGCGCTGGACACGGGGTGTTTGGAGAGGGATTAGCGCTTCTTTTGGAAACTGCCTGAAGAGCCTGGAGCAGTGTTTCGGAGGCAGGAAACGGGGGCTCTTTCGGAGGCTTCTCTCTATAAACTGCTCTCATTTCCTCGGCTTCTCTTGGGCGTCCTGCTGTTCCTGTTTTCCTCCTGAGGAGTCCGGGCGGGTTTTAGATGAGAGGAAGGGGCAGTGCCGAATCCCCCGCTTACGGCTACCGGATCTGAGCTGCAACAGAGGGCAGCCAAGGGTTGCCCCCGAACCTCACTGCTGCCATCTCAGCACCCTCTGAGGAACTGCAGGCTTTTTTTCTTGGGTTTGCAGAGGCTTGAGGGTGCCTCTCCTTTCGCCCCCTTGGCCTGAGCCAGCAAGGCTGAACCCCAACAAAGGCTCTTGCGTGAACCGCATTCCTGGACAGGCAGCTTGCTTAGATGAAGCAGAGGAGGGGATGTGGGGGCCCCCACCTGAAAAGATCCACTGAGACCTGCCGGGTCTGACGGGACCCGCTCAGTCCCCCTCCTGCACGGAGGCAACACTGGCTGGTCCTTGGGACTGAGATGGAGCTTCTGTTCAGGGGCCGGAGCCTCTCCGTAAACCGATCTTGGTCTGAGGGCTCCTGCTGCTCCACGAATGGATCTTGGTCCTCCGTCATGGGGCATTTCGGGAACCGCCGCCGCTTCAGTTCTGGATCGGCTGCTTTAGGACGTCCTGGGTTTTAGGGGAACAGGATGCACCCCCTTGCTCCACAGCCCCAGCGGCTCCTCGGTTTCCTCCGGGGTTTGGACTCCTTAGGGACGGGCTGGAGCTGCTCCTTCTAGCGGGTGTCTGGGATGAGCCAGGCCTGGCCTGGCACCTCCTTGTCCTGGCCTGCTCACGGAAAAGCCTGCTGGTGCAAGCAGCACAAGGGCAGCCCGTGACTGACGTCCGCCTGTGGAGAGGGTGGATCGAGTCCCGGGGGGCTGGTGAGGGGTGTTTCCTGTGCAAGTCCTGTGGGCAGACCGGTGGGTCTTTGCCCAGAAGGCCTTGGTCTGACTACGGAGCGTCTGGCCCCGGACAGGTCCCCATCGCCTTGGCTCCAACCGAAAAGCCCCTCTGGGGTCTCAGCCCGGAAGGCCTCGCCAGCCAATCTGGCCCAGCCTTGGCACTTAGCTGCCAATCTGCAAGCAGCTCCTTCTCCTCCCTAAGGTGCCCCCGTGGCTCCTTGCACCAGGGGGGCACAATTTCAGGCAGGAAGGATGTCCTACTTCCCGGCTCCACTCTTCACAAAACCAGCACTCCCTTTAGCGGCTTTGGCGTCCTAGTTGATATGTGTCATTTGCCGCCCCCCCCAGTCAGTTTCGTCCCTGCTGATGGGTGCTGCCTGTTTCCAGGCCCTGTTTCTGCAGGGGGGCTGTCACAAAATGCAGCTGGAAATGGGGACGGGGGGGTGAGGAAGAATTCCCTGCCCTGGTTTTGTCTGCAATCCGGCACTCCTTTTCATCTGGCGCTGCCAGGCCAGCCCCTCACTTCCTCCTCCTCCCTCCAGCAGCTGGCCCTGGAGAGCGCCCCCTCCCCTTCCGTGTTCCCTGCCAAGGACCGCCTGTCCGGAGCGCTCCCTCCCTACGGGGAGGATGAAGGCCGCGACTGCCAGCGCCTCAAGAGAGCCTGCAGGGGGATGCCCGTGGGGCGGAGGGAGACTGGGCTCAGCCCGTGGCTGGGGCGCAGAAGGAGGGCTCCAGCCACTCTGGCCAGGTTGGGAGGGGTCCAGGCGGCATGCTGAAGGCAAAGGAGGCCGGGCCCAGCAGCCTTCGTGCTGTGCTGGAAGTGAGCAAGGAAGAGGCTGGTCAAGGCAGAACTGATCACCTGCTGGCTTGGGCTGGCACAAGGGGTCAGCTGCTTCTTGGGTGCGCTGGCCCCTGTTCAGCATTCCCGCCTGTTGGATCATCTCCATCTGTGAGACCACACCAAGCCCCCCCTTCTTTCCTTTGGGGGCTGCCTGCTCTCTGCAAGGGAGGATCCTTCTCCAGCCCAGTGAACCCCCTCCCCCATCGCTTTCCTGAGCCCCCCCCCAGGTTCCCTCCCCTCCCCCTTGGCTGCTTCTCCTTGGTGCACAAATGGGCTTTATTGATGCCCAGATAATAATTTCCCGGTAGGGCAAGGCCAGACTTCGGGCCAGGTGTCTGAGGCTCCTCAAATGCAAAACAGGCAGCTGGGCCAGCTCTCAAGCACTTCGCAGCGTGGAAATGTTGGCCTTTGGTGGCTGCCCGCCCCTGCCCTCAAAGCTGCCTAGGATTTTAGATGCCTAGGAGGTCCCCACCCATTCGGTGTGCCTGATTGGGCGTGCTGCCTGGGCACTGCCTGGGGATTTGGGAGATGAGTCCAGTTTGGGGAGAGAGCTCCCTGGCCATTTCCAGCAAGAGGAACGGCTTCTCCTGCCTGCCCCGAATCTCCCGGGTGACTGAATGACCCCCCAGGCTTCTGGTCGCAGGTCAGGAAGAAGCAGCCCCCCCCCTTTTCTCTGCCCACCGTTGGGCTCCCTTTCAAGTATCCTGCTTTCATGTTTGGGGGTGGAACTAGTTTTTGAGAGCCATTTAGACTAGGAGAACCATGAATACGTGCCCTTCCTGCACCAGCCAGCCATGCTTAAGGCCAGCAGAATAACTGCCGCTGGAATTTTAGCCTCAGAAAGTGAGGCTTGAATGCAGATTCTGGCCTCCCACACATAAGCTGGTCCCAAGTGATAAAGCATCTTCTCTGCGCTGCTTGAATGTTTTCTCCAGCCCAGAGCGAGCCCCTTCCCTTCCACCCAAAGAAGCCCAAGCTGGGGGTCTCTCTCCCTCACCTGTGCAGAGGAAGAGGGTGCTCCCACAGTGGGACACGGAGGTCCTCCTGGCTCAGTTGAATCTGGGGAAGGACGGCTGTATCTTGGGGGCGGAATGGGATGTCCTGAGAAATAACTGGCTCTTCCAAGGCTGTCTGGATATAGAGCCCTTTGACAGTCATTTCCACATCAGGCTCATTCTGTTAGCTTCCGTTTTATTTACGCCTAAAAAAGCTGATAACCAGGAACAATAAAATAGCACAGTAAATGGAATAACGTAATATAACAAGGAAGCAGCAGAGCCAGTGAAAGATGCTCTGATCCAGTGAAAACCAAAATGGGATCAGAGGGAGAAAATATTTCAAGGACACTTCAGGCACCACCAGGAGGCTGACAGAGCAGGACGGAAATTGCCATCCTTAGGAAGGGATAGCCGTGATTTGAGCGCAGCCCAGCTCCGGAGACCCAAGTGTCCAGGGCAAGACAATCCACGCACCAAGGGCAGACCTTCTGACCTTGGAAGTCCACCACTCCCCTCGTTACGCTTCCTGAGTCTCTGACCGGGGCTCGCTCTGGAGACTCTTGCCTCGGAGCTAGCCAGTGTGCACAGAAAGGTAGCCCAACAGCTTTCTTGAATGGCCGTCCTTTTTAGAGGCTTTCTTTCCCCCTCCCCACTCTTTCTTGCTCCAGCCGCTGCCCCGCGTCAGCCGGAGGCCGAGGCCTCCCTGGGTCACGATGGCTGGAGGGAGACGGCAGCCGCTCCTGGCCGAGGCCCCTACGATGCCATTTGACAGCGACTGTTCACAGCAATCACTCCCAAGCCTGGATAGCTAGTTAAACGGTCCAGTGAACATGCTGGTGGTGACTGAATTCTGAGAATCTGTTGGGACTGAACATCCCACCTGTTGCATTCAGCCTCTTACTTGCTTGGCGTGCCCTCAGCGAAACGTGGCTTGGCTCACGCTCAGATGTGATGCCTCGCTAGGCAGAGCGGCTCCAGAGTTTGGAGGGCCTTTTTGTCTTCCTGTGTCGCAGCTGAATATCTTGGGGGCCAAAAGATGGGGGGGTTACTGTATTTAATTGATTTCCACTCTCCTTGAGAGAGCTGGAACAGCAGTCTGTTTTAACTGCATAATGTATGGGAAGTAAATAGCTGGATGCCTCTGCGAACGTGGTTCTGCCTTGCGAAGGAGCCTGGTTTCTGGAACGTCAAGAGCGTGCCAACCAGGAAAGCAAGGGCTTGACTGGAAAGGCTGGAGGAAGGCGGTGCTCTCATCTCTGGCCTCAGAAGTTCGGTGTGCATTTGAAGAGCCTTTACAGCAACATTGAGCTTCTAGGGGAAAAATGTGAAAAGCAGCACACTTGGATCAAGGGTCGTTGAGCTTGGAAACACTCTTAGAAGTAGAGCATGGCGCCTTCTCGGTGCCCAGCTTTAATTAAGGAGGCAGGAGCTGAGCCAGTGAGAAATGGGACGTGCCTGTAGTTCACATCTTCCCTCTTTTATGGGACACTGCAAAGTGGCTGGGCTGGTTGTATCTGATTGGAGGAGCTTCCCGTCAATAAAAAGGTCATAAATAACTTAGAGCTGGGCACTGAACTAAGTTGAACTGGCCTGCAAGATGTCTAACCCATCAGGTAGAAACTTGACGGGTTACACCTCCGCTTTAATTTCCAGTTAGATATTGTTTCTTATAGCCTTGCTCCAAACTCTGTTAGAATAGTCCTTACAGTAGAGGGAAACCTGTGGATTTCAGAGGATGTGGGATCTGGCTGGGTGTGATTGGCCGTCGGCATTGTTTCCCAGCTGTCCTTCCTGATAATTCCTGGAAGCTGCCCGGTTGGAGGGAGTTATGACTATGCTGAACAAACCAAAGGCATTCACCTGAAAGTCGCTTGGACGGTCATGGAGGAACTGCAGAGCTGAGAAGAGCTGGCAAATGTCATTTCCTCCCATTGGTCCACCTGTGTTTCCTTCCCCCTCGTTTGGCCTTTTAAGCCCAGCCCCCCCCCCCACCAAAGCAAGACGTTATTCCCAGCGGTGAGCACCGATCTGGGAGGAGCGCTTGTCTAAGTGGGGGTGGGCCGCACCCCAAACTCAGCAGTGATCAGTGTCCGAAGGTGGGCCCTGCCCATCCCTTCAGCCTCGGAAGCATGCAGTCTGCGGGGGTGGCTTGCTAGCCCGGGCCATAGGATACGGACCGCGGCTCCGGGTCTGGGAAACAGCACGGGCCCACAATGGGAGGAAGCTGAACCAGTGATCTGGAGTTGGTTCTTCGGGAACCCAGATCGAGGTCCTGCAAGCCTGGCAGAGAAGCAGAATTCCTGACATGGGCGTGGCAGCCGGCTCTCCCCTCCAGCCCCTGCAGACGACAGGGCGGAGCAGCCGCGCCTTAGGGTGGCACTCCTCCCCAGGGGCCCAGCCTGCAGGCGTGCGGGCAGTCCAGGCGTTTCAGCAGCTGTAAGACGGGGGGGGTGGCCTGCCCAAGGATGGCGGACAATAGCCTGACCCGGAATTTGACATTCAGCTTTATTGCCGGTTTTCTCCAAGGCTGGGAGGCCTGTGCCTGATTCAAAATCTCTCCCCCAAGCCCATCCTGACAGCAAAGGATCTCTTAGTTCTCCACAACTGGCATATTTGAAATGTAAATTTTTAGCATTATGGATATCGGTGGCTTTCGCTCCTGTTTTTCTTTGTTTGGTAGGAAGTCAAAATGCCAGGTGCTCAAGACAGGTTTCCTGGCTTTGACTCAGAAGCTGATGCAGCAAAAAGGAATGCTGGATAATCTTTTGTGTGTCCTTAGGAACCAGCAGTATTTATCAAAATGTGGGCTTGCAAAGTGTTCCGGGGAAGGGATGGTAGTCTCTGTTGACAGGAGATAATTAAAAGCAAGGTATGTACTGCCAAGAGATAAACTGTAGTAAATATGAAAGGCAACGAGCATAAAACAGCATGAAAAACAGGCCTGGCAGTTGAGTAAGAAGCCAGATTGAGATAGTAGGAGGCGCTGCGCATCCTGGGCCTTGCCCGGCGCCCGAGCGACACAAACGCCGCCGCCGTACCAGGCCAGGCACCCCGTAGGAGGCATTCCAGAGTTGGGCGGCCGCCCTCCAGCACCTGGCCCGCTTTGCTTCGGCTTGGCTTCCCGTAGCAGGAGGATCAGAGGATGAGTTGCAAGGCGGGAAGCCCGCTGGCAATCCTGGTGGGGCCCTCCGAGGGCCCGCAGAAACAGAGGGCCGTGAGCTCCACCTCGGTCGCAGCAGGCGAGGAAAGCACCGCGGTTCCTCAGGACGCCTCTGGCCCATCAGGAGAATAAGCGAGCCCAGCGCCTCACTTCCTTCTCTCTCCCCTTTCAGAGCTTCGGTCCGTGTGAATTATGAAGTCCTATTCCAGCGGTTTCCAGCAGCAGCAGCAGGACCCCCCCACGGCTGGCCCCCTGAATGTAAAGGCCGGGTCCTACGGAGTCAGCATCCGGGTCCAAGGGATCGATGGCCATCCGTATATCGTGCTCAACAATACTGAGGGGTGCTTGTCAGCAGACCCCTCGGGGCCTGAGCCAGCTGAGCGGCCAGGGCCAGGCTCCCCTTTCCCTGCTGTTGAGCTGGAGGAGAAAAACCCTGAAGAAAGACCACTGGGGGGGGCTTGCAATAATGTGCCACCCGGTTGGATGAAAAGCCAGAAGCCAGCCAACATGGATGAGGGAAAGAAAGCAACCTCACCTTTCAAAGCTGGGACTTCTAATCTGCTGAACTTCCAGAGATATCCAGAGCTTCTTCAGCCCTATAACCCTGCAAATAATATCTTGAATCTGGAGGACCTTCAGCCTCCTCTGTTTAGTAAATCCCAGTCTCTTGAGGATGAAGGGAAATTGAATTCCAAGCCTTGGAAATCATCTTTGAAGGTAGCATTAGACGACTCAGCCCTCCAGTTTGTAGAACTGGCTAAACCAAAACCGAAAACAGTAGATTTGACCAAGCCCAACCCAAACAAGCAGCATCTGGAACGCACCAGTGTTGCTGACAGTCCTAATGGAATGCATGAGTCTCTTTCTTCTGGTGGTGGATCTTCATGCGCTGTAAGTTCCTCTACCTGCCAAGATACGAGGAAACGTAGACCTGACCTCCTTCCTTTTCGCCAACAAGATTCAGCAGGAGCAGATCTGAATGGTTCACAGAAATCTTCATCTTCATCAACTACACCGACTTCTGCAGCATCCTTGTATAGGTTCTTCCTAGATGACCAAGAATATGCCATCTACGCTGACAATGTTAACCGGCATGAAAACCGGCGTTATATCCCATTTTTGCCTGGAACTGGCCGTGATATTGATACTGGCTCCATTCCTGCAGTTGATCAGCTTATTGAAAAGTTTGACAGGAAGGTTTGTCCCCAAAGAAGGGGAAGATTAGGGTTCAGGAATAGAATTCATCCAGAGGATTATAAGCGATCAAAGAGCGTAGACAGCGCCCTGTCTTATGGACCGAAAGTGAACTCTGGTTGCATAGGCGAGTTCACTAAAAGTTTGGGAATGTCATCAGAGCACGTGGTCCAGCCCTCCCAAGTTTGCCTTCAGAAGCTGTTGTCTCCAGAGGAAAAGTCAGCATCTCTTGGGGAGCAGGTAGCCCCTCCGGCAGCAGGCGAGCTCCAAACGACAACAGGAACGAGAGATTCTCCCAGCAGCCACTTTAATTCTTTGCAGTATCCCAGACAGAGTCAAATGAGCCTGGAGAGTTTGTCTTCTAAGTCTTCCACTCTTCCAGGGCAGAATAAAAAAAGTGACAATAAAACGGTCGTCTCCACTCTCCTGTTATCAAACTCTGCTGCAAGTCAGAACCTTTCTGTGAAAACATTTGCTTCTGCTTCGAAAAGTGCTCAGGTAACTTTTGGAAATTGACGATCCTTTAGTATGAGCTGGTCAGAGGACATTAGGTTCCTGAGAGGCAGTTTTGGGGATAGGAATAGAGGGACCCAGCGATGCCGTCTGGCTTCAGGAACCCGGGGAAGGGAGGCTGTTTTGCGAAGAAATGTGCAGAGTTCAGCTGAATCACTTCAGGCAGAGGTGTTGGCATCTTAGCGGGCATTTTGGAATGATCAACGCTTTGCGATTTCTTTTAGTCTGCATTACCAAAGCCGCTTTGCAAATAAAAAGAACGATATATTGTTCTTGCCCCCCATCTTCATGTGCATTCTCTCCACTGCCTGGCCTAGTTTCTCAGAAATAACTGGGAAGTGGTGGGTGGTCCCATTCAAGGCTTCTGCCTCACAACAGTATAGAGTTGCCTAAGCCTCTTGGGGCCTCAGCATTGGTTTCCCGGCCTCTCTGTAACTTTTCAGAGTTGCTGGCAGCACCTGCTCACCTCACAGGGCTGCGCAACCTGTTTGCAGCCCTGGGTCAACCCAACCGAAAGCAAGAATCTTTCCCTCTAGGGCGTCTTTTTCACACCAAGTTTTGTGTTTCAGGTGACACCTGACCTGCTCAAGGGCCAGCAGGAACTTGCACAACAAACCAGTGAAGAGACTGCCAAGCAGATTCTCTACAACTATCTCAAGGAAGGGTCAGTGGACACTTACACAGGTTGCTTGTGAGGGTGGCGTTCGTACGTAGTCTTGCTTTGGGCTCTGTACCGCTTGGTTTCCCCAAGGTGAAGTTCCACTCTGATCTTAATTCACACAAGAACTACCTGCAGTCCAGCGTCCCTCTGTAAGAAGGTAGATTTTGGAGGCCACTGGGTGATCTAGTATCTTTTGGTTTTCTGACCATTTGAGCAAACACAACGTGTCACAGATCATTGTCTTTTTTCATGTTTCAGTAGCAGTGAAAACGAGGATGCAACAAAGAGGAAAGTCAATTTGGTATTTGAGAAAATCCAGACTTTGAAGTCCAGAGCAGCTGGAAGTCCCCAGGTGAAATACACAAAGGAAACAACCTTCTATCTCCAGTGGCATTTATTATGATCCATATTCAGGGAGGGGAAAAGACACATGAAGGCAGCCCCTGCCCACAGCTTTGCAGAGGTGCTGCTGGTGAAGATTCTCTGCCAACACAGTTGGCTAGGTTTGTTTTTTGCAAGCAGTGGTGCCAGTAGGCTTTCCCCCTCTTCTCAAGCACCAAACGTGTCTCGTGGCTTCTCCCACACAACTCCCAGTCACTTCTGCCGTTCCACAGCGGCACTCTTCCCCCTCTGCTTCCTTCTTTTGAAAGGCACCCCCAAGATCCCTCCTTGAGGCCTTATTGGGCAGCTTCGGCTGTTGCAATGGTGAAAACGCTTCGTTCGTTGCAGCTTGGGGAGGGAGTTGCAAGTAAAGGTGTTGAGAACAAACTAATTTTGTTAAACTGCAGGCTTCTGATGCTTCAGTGGAAATCAAAATGCTGGTGGAAGAGAAAAAGCGGTTGGCAAAGGAGGTGTCTGAGCTACAGAGGAAGCTGGACTTGGAACTCAAGGTAGGCCTCCACACACTCCCTCCCTACACACACACACACACACACACACACACAGTGGATGCCTGCATCCACAGCAAGCAAAAGCCAGTTCAGGAAAGCCCTCCAGATCATTTGGTTTCCAACAGAAGTCAGGCACACAATGAAAGCACTGATTGTTTGAGAAATGAGTAAATGAGAACTTCCTGTCAGTCAACAATCCTGCTTATGTGAAGAGAGACTCTGGGTCTTTTAGGAGAGATTCAGCCACACAGGTACAAGGGCCCAGTTCAGCTTCCAGCCTCGGGAGATCTGCTGGCAGTGAGCGCAGGTTGCACCGGGGCCAGTTGCTGCATGTGGCCGCTGCCAAGCATCAGCCCTGGAGCCCTCAGAAGTGACAGAGGGAAATTCCTTGCATAGACACACCGACCATCTGCCTTTGCTCAGAAATATTGGGGTCTTTAGAAAGGTGCAAAGTGTACATTCTTCTACTCTTTCCAAAATCTGCTGTTTTAGAATCAGCAAAACTTCAAAGCTGAAAAACAGACAATGGAAGTAGAGTTTCAGCAGCTTCGGCGACAGCTTGAAGAAAACCTGGAGGAGAAAGACACTTTCCGGAGGCAGCTGAAGGAGAGCGAGAAAGACCTTAGAGAAAACCTGGAGGAGTGAGTTTTGCATGGGGAAGGATGCTTCTGAGTGCATATCTTCTGCTGTTGGTCCTCAAATCCCATTTTGTGGGATCAGAAGCCTATTCTAGTTGTGGCTGATATACAGACCCTTGATATCCCCTAAAACGTGTCACCTATTGCCTCAGCTCGCAAACAAAATCCTTTCCTCACTCATTTACTTCTCTTTTATTTATGTGTGTGTGTGTCTATAATTTTATTAAGAATTTTGATTATAATAGTTAAATCTAATACAAACTAAACAAAAGAAAGAGGAGAGAAAAGAATATTGTCCCTTCTACAACAATATTTGAATGAATTAATGAACTAAAGATTAAGACTGTTAGAAATAAAAGGAAGAAATGTAAGGTTGGCTTATTTGATCAAGGTTAAAACAAGTTACTTTTGGCAACCCTTTATGGACTTCATGCTGACACTAGGACTGA